GGTTATATAATCAGATAATGCTGAGTTCTTTGAAAATATATATCCGTATAAAAAGGAATGTGATTCAATTGGTGAAGAATCTAAACGACCTCGGGAAGAAACAAAAGAAAGTACACTTAACCAGGAGGATCCAAGACATAGTAAATTTCAAAGAACGTCTACTTCATTTGGACCAGATTTTGTGACTTTCTTATTGGAAAATGAGCCTCAAACATTTTAAAAAGCTATGTTTTCTTCGGAATCATTGTTATGGAAAAAGGCAGTCAATAGTGAAATAAAATCCATATTGAACAACCATACATGGGAATTGGTTGATCTTCCTCATGGAAATAAACCGTTGGGTTCTAAATGGATCTTTAAGAGGAAAATGAAAGATGATGGTACTATTGACAAATCTAAGGCAAGACTTGTGGTCAAAGGGTATAGACAACGAGAAGGTCTTGACTATTTTTATACATACTCTCCAGTTACAAGAATTACGTCCATACGAATGTTAGTAGCGTTAGCTGCAGTTTATGGTCTTGAAATTCATCAAATGGATGTAAAGACGGCCTTCTTAAATGGAGAGTTGGAGGAAGAAATCTATATGGAACAACCTGAAGAGTTTGTGGTTCCAGGTAAAGAAAAGAAGGTCTGTAGACTTGTTAAGCCCCTTTACGGATTAAAACAAACACCCAAACAATGGCATGCGAAATTTGACCAAACAATGTTGTCAAATGGATTTAAGATAAATGAATGTGATAAATGTGTATACATTAAAAATGTTCCAAATCACATAGTCATTGTTTGCTTATATGTGGATGATATGCTCATAATGAGTAATGACATTGACAACATAAATGCTACTAAGCATATGCTAACTAGCAAGTTTGATATGAAAAACTTGGGAGTTACTGATTTAATTCTGGGAATTAAGATCCAAAAGACTTCTCAAGGTCTGGCATTGTCACAATATCATTATATTAAGACAGTACTTGAAAAATTCAAGCACTTGGGCTTTAAAGTTGCAAAGACTCCAATTGACGTGAATCTTGCATTAGCAAAGAACAAAGGTCAAAGCATATCACAATTGGATTATGCTCGTGTGTTAGGTTGCTTAATATACATCATGAATTGTACATGACCAGATATAGCTTGTGCTATAAGTAAATTGAGTCGATATACGAGCAATCCATGCCAATCTCATTGGATGACAATGAAACGAGTTTTGGGATATTTAGAACATACCCAGGGCTTTGCTTTGCACTACAGTAAATATCCTGCAGTGATAGAGGGATACTGTGATGCAAATTGGATCACCGGTTCAACTAATTCTAAGTCCACAAGTGGATATGTATTCACTATTGGTGGAGGAGCAGTATCTTGGAAGTCATACAAACAAACTTGTATTGCCCGCTCTACAATGGAGGTTGAGTTCATAGCCTTGGATAAAGTCGGTGAAGAAGCTGAATAGCTTCGGAATTTCTTGGAAGATATTCCATTTTAGCCCAAACCGTTGGCACCAATATGCATGCATTGCGATAGTCAAGCGACAATTGGAAGGGCTGGGAGCGTTATGTATAACGGTAAATCTCGTCATATACGACGAAGACATAAAACCGTTAGACAATTACTCTCTAGAGGAATTATCACGATTGACTATGTAAAGTCAAGTGATAATGTGTCGGATCCACTTACAAAAGGCCCAACTAGAGAGGTAGTTGAGAAGTCATCAAGGGGAATGGGATTGTGGCCGAGAACAAGTCATAGTGGCGGTAACTCTACCTAGAAGACTAGAGATCCCAAGATCTAGGTTCAAGGAGATCAAACAAAGTCATCAATGACGGTTCAACATTGTCAACTAAACTTTTGGTCCATTCTCGTGATGAGACAATGTTCAGTACCAAAGATAAAGTATCAAGGCTTTTTAATGATTTCTAGTTTTGATACGGGGTATATCAAATAGTGTATCTACGGGGTGACACGTTTAGGAATCACCTATGTAAGTGTGAAGTGTTTGCCGCTTCAAGGAGAACTTTGTAAGGCCAGTTCTCCACGCACTTATGAAATCAGGAGGTGTTCATGGCTGAAACGAACACAACAATGAGAACCAAAGATGGTTAAGGGTTGGTTGTGTGACTTGTGGTTGTCTATGTATACACCAAAGTTCGACGGTTCAAAGATATCAAATCTACCGATTGATCGAGTATATCCGACATAAGTTCACTACGGAAAGTTCAAAGGAAACCTACTTATCCAGATGCAATTAATCTTTACTTGCAAATCACACAGTTTTTCATGCATACTTCCGTGATATAGCCATTCCCTATTCATGTGGAGGATTGTTGGGTTTTATATGTATTTAATTAATATATTAAATACTTAAAAGATGGTGAATGAGAAATGGAGGGAAATGAAATTTTTGAGTGAAATTTTAAGTTTCCCCCTTTGGTAAATGGACATTGTCCCATATTGGAAGAGGAAGAGGTTTTTTATGGGTATATAAACAATTGCTCTTCTTCTAGATCTTAAAGAGTTGAGAAGAAGGCAAGCCTCGTGCCGTCGTCGTCGTCGTCGCTCGCTCGCTCGCTCGTCTTCGGCTTCGGCTTCAGATTTACATTTGGATTTGGCCAAATGATCGATTGATTGATTAACTTTTTGGACCAAATTTATTTATTAATAGTAAAATATTAACAAAAATGTTATTAAATATTTGTTTTAATAACAGAATATTAATATTAAATATTAATATTAAATCCAATCCGCTTTTCTATTTTGGTAACGGAAAATTAACTACCCTCTTCAATTTTCCCTCTTTATTGTTGAGTAATTAGCCATTTATGTAATGACATTTATGCTGTGGCCGTTTTTGCAGAAACAACCATTCTGAAGAGTTGCACCTCTTCAGATTTCAGCCCAACTTTGGTTATAAATACAACACTATTCTGCTCAAAATTTCACTACGATTTTTTGAGTTTCTCCCCCTTCTTCTGCATACTTTTAGCATCAGACAAAGCAATAGTAAGTGTGATTTGCTATCGAACTTTGTGTTCGCTGAAACACTGGGGTTTGAAGTACCACTACACCAGTGTGTAATTCGTTCTATCATGGGAGGAAATAATCCATAACCTTGGGTACTAGAAGGGGAATAAATTCCTTAAGGAAATACTGTGAATTCCGTGGGCTCGAATTAATTTTCTGCTATTTCGTTGTTCACTTCTATTTATGTTCATTTATATTTCCAGAATTATTTTACAAATACAACTAACTAACACTTAACTATTTTAATGTTTCAACATGAAAATGGTTACAACCCTACATGCTTGAGGCTAGTTCGACATATATGCATGGTGCACATGCGTCTGCTGCTTCGAACTCGAATATTTATATAGAAAATTTATTGAACAACTTGAAAATAAGCATATATATTAAGAGTTGCACCTACTATCTTGAAATCTTGAATCCGCTTACGCCTGCTCACTGAAGAGGAAATATTTTAAAGCCACCCTCCTATGGGTGAGGAATAGAAGGAGGCCGTAGTGGGAACAATGGGTGGTGGAAATATTTTGGAGGAATCTTAGGGAAAGGAGGAAGCTTGGGATGAATATGGATTTTAGGAAATAGGGGTGGGCATGGTTTTTTATAGAATGGTGGAATTGGTTTGTATATTGGAACAGGTGGAGGCAGAGGCTTTACTGGTTTGTAAATTGGAACTGAAGGAGGCTTCACTACTTGTGCCTTTGGTTTTGGTTTATAGATAGGAATTGAAGGAGGATTTGGCTTCTTGTAAATGGGAGGGAAAGGTTTATTATGAATAGGGGGTAGAGGTAAATACATGTTAGGGTAATGTTTCTTTTTCCAAGAATGAATCTTGGGAAAAGGTGGTAACTTTGGCAATGGTGGATATTTATAGTGTGGCCATAAGATAGCAGAAGTGCACAAGGCTGTAGAGAACTTTAGATTTCCAGCTGGTTTTAATGTATGTTTTTCATCATTTTCAGATTTGATGACTACAATCTTGGACCTGTCTATGCCATTGTGTGCTGGACATGGTGCAGCATATGCACTATGGAGTTGGGCATAGCAATCTTCTTTTAATTTGCCGTCTTTTACCATCTCTTGTGGAAGTGAGACCGTGAATTTGCCATCTTTGTCAAGTTTTCCTTCTCCTTTTGTTTTGATTTCTCCATTTTCAACCTTGCAGTCGATGGTTACACGAAGCCCTGAAAGCAAAAGTTGTTATAACTAGAAGCATTTCTTGAATTTTAAAGGATGAACATGGAAGACTACTCATCCATTAATATACTAGTGACAGTGGGTGCAATTTTTTTATTAATGTACATCTTTTCAAAATTGTTCAATTAAAGAGGAGCTTTGACGCAACGGTAGAGTTACTTATCATAGATTAAAGTTGTGGAAACGACCTCTTGCAAACATGCAAGTTAAGCCTATGTATAATAGACATAATATGGTCTGACTCTTCCCTGAACCTCCGCATATAGCGGGAGCTTTGATGCAATTGTAAGAGTTGCTGTCATGTGACAACAGGTTACAGGTTCAAGCAGTGGAAACAACCTCTTGCAGACATGCAAGGTAAGACTATGCACAACAGACCCAATGCATGTTGTAGTGATCCTTTCCGGACCGCTACAATGGGAGCTTAGTATACCGACTGTGCTTTTATTGAATTGTGTATACAACGCGAGCCTCAAAACAGCAATGCGAATGCACTCACTGCTCTGATTATGGCACATATGCTATATATGGTTATAGCCATTAAGCTTCTGAAAAATGTTATGCAAAATCAAGATAAAAACATAAAAGTGCATACCTGAAAAGGCATGAGTGGTCTTTATGTTACTCTCTTTGCAATCAGCACATTCCCCAGTTCCAACAACCTGGATTGTCTTGTCAACAGCATAGCAGAAAGTCACAGCAAACAGCAATAAAGAGACAGAGAATCCCAAAAGGACTCTGCCACAAAGTGACTGAAGCCCCATTGAGCACAATGCCAACAGGCAAATGGGGCAGCCAAATAGCTGAGGGAACTATTAACTCTACTTTGCCAAAATGTGAGATTTTGTTGGTGTCCTTGAATATGTTTGTCTGAAGGGATTAAAGGGTATATATATAGTACTTAAAATGATAGATTTTTATGAGTTACACCAACAAATAGTTAAGGACCTCACATGACCTTACCTTGACTTATGTTGGAATAATTGAAAAGGGATTATAGCAAAATTTAAGAAGATTCAACTAATATGGGTGGTGGCATAGCATAGCTGTTTGATCAAAGGCAATTATCCTCATTGAATGAGGTATCATCCAACTGCAAACCTTGTTTATTTTCTATCTATAAACCTATTTAGCGGCTTTCATTTATGTCCATCCTGAAAAAATCTGGAGTTAAATGTGAACTTTTGACTACTTGTGGCAATCTTCAGTAACAGTATAATTGACATCGTAGGTGTTCAAGAAAAACTGAAAAATCGGATAGCATCAGACAAATATGTGCCTGAATTTGAACTCAGAGCTTTCTATATGGAGGAAGGTCTCAGCACTTAAACTATGCCATACGAAGAAATTTATGTGTAATTACTTAATAAGTGACCTGATTGTATAAACAGTTTTATATCGTCAGTGCGTGTAACCTAAATTCTTGCTTTAATAGCATTTTACACTCACCAAAATATTTATTGTAAACCCTTCTACAGCATGTAGAAACTTACACTAGCGCATAAAATACTTTTACTTGTACTACAATATGATTTGACTCAATCATCAACTTCTTACCTAAATCAATTGACAAATATCGTTTAGAGAGATAGAATTGGGTTCATAAACTTTATCATGTGAGTACATGTTTTTGTTCTGTGTTTGATTTTTCTACTACTAATTTATCTTACATCTTGGCTAATTATACGGCACAAAAAGAAGAGGAAGTTGTTTATTCATTGTCGATTTGAAGCCCTGAAAACGATGTTTCAACTAATTATGTACGCATTTACTTGAATTTCATCTCCCACATGCAGCAATATACGGACCAATGTATAATAATAACATTACAGGACAAGCCCACCTCTATTGTCACTTGAAACTTAGTTCTAATGTAAGAAACTCAATCCAAATGTGTCAAAGGACAACGTAGATCTTCTGCGATGATCTGTATAATGATGTGATTTTTTAACCACCTAAACACGAGCTTATATTTTATAATAGTAGAAACTAGAAGGCAATAATATTTCTATTCTTAATTCCAGAGTAGTACATTCTTGTTTGATGACAAGTATGTTTATTGACTTTTCTCCATTCCCGCTAAAGATTTTAACAAGCTAAGGTGCTTCACAACTCAAACAAAGACCATAAGAATGACCAATCTATCTACCAAGAAAATAATAAACTTGTTGAACAGAAAAAAGAGAATATGTTAGACAATTGTCTTGGTCACCTCCAACTACCAGTCAGTTTGGCACTAAAAAGACAAAGGCTGATAGGTTTTTCCTCATGCTACAACAGTAAAGAAGCTCTATCACTTCTAATTCTTAAACCTATTGCACGTTTTTAACTGTGCGTAAATCCAGTCTAACTGGGAATTTAGCCTCCACATACTGCTTGGGACATCAGAACCTAAGTAATTCACTTCTTCTTCTTCGACTTGTTGGAAAGCGATTGAGTATATGCAGTTCCCTACATAAAAGACACAAGAAGGCAAAAACTCATCATACCAAAGTCCAGACATATAAAGAAATCATTTTAACGTGATTCTGAAAAACTAGAAGACCAAATATTCTAAAAAATACTCCCAACAGTTAGAGAAACCACAAACCTCAAGCCATTCATCCATGGATGCATCTGTTGTTGCAGTTCCAACTTCAACCTTTGCCTTTGGTGCTCTCTTAGTTTTCTGTACGTACATCCAAGAAAGAAAAGAAAGCATTAGAAGGGAAAAAGAGCAACGGAAGTGCACCAAAACACCCAGGATTTCTGATGCACTAACAAATATTCTTCTGCTTTTGCAAGGTGCATACAAAGAGCATATGTAATCACCTTTGAGAGATTTTGTATCTGACCACGTATCCAGAATCCAAGAAGGCCAAGGAGGGCAATTCCAAGACAGAACAAGAAAACAGACTCAACACTGAGAAGACCACCAGGCTCAGTCACTTCAATAGTACCGTTGTAGAATGTACTCTGATAAGGGTTCTGGTCTATCTCATAAACAATAGTGCCAACTAGATCAAAACTTCCAGGCTGCAACATTAAGAAAGAAAAGTTATTCAGCCTAGGAAACCAACGGCGGCATTCAAGTGCAAGCAAATAAAGTATAAAAATAAGCAGATAACAAAAGATAAAAGCAGTACAAATGCTTGGAAGACAACCAACCTGCATAAATTTGCTGACAGCAAATATATATGGAAAAGTTGCCTGGGCTGAAGGTGGAACTGTTGCATTGTTAAAAGCCTAGGAAATGGACCAAGATACAGAATTAGCCAAGTCCCTAACCCAAATCACAGTATAATAGCATGAACATGGAAGCCTCATTTCAATAGGAACTCCTAATTAACAATGAAAGATCACCAAAGTATTTTCATCCCATAGAGAATAATCACGCCCTTGTCACAAATAAATTTTTTACTTTACTTCAAAGCAATCTTAAAATGATATCTTTTTCTTACCATTAAATCTAAAATTATATCCTAGGATCAGTGATGTGGATATATATGAGCTTCATGCTATGTGGAAGTTAATATAAAATGAGAAAAAACATATGTTTCATTTCTAAGAAGAATAAGTTCTGTATGCCTTGTGCATGCAAATGTTTTCTTGGTTCAACTGGAAGCTAAACAGCTACTAACCTAAAGGTTAAAAGTTCACGTGAAGAGACCTCAAATAAGATTGAAAATTACCAGAAGAATTCAGAACTAAGTGAATATGAGAATATGTAAATTCCAGCTTAAAGAACCAAAATAACAGGTAAATAAATTTGAGATAGAAAGCTCTTTTCAGCTTAAAGGGCATAATAAATCACAAATCTTATGGAAGGAGGAGAGTGCAGCCTAATTTCTAAAAAAGAAAATAAGCCAAACAATTACCTGTACGGACAGATTTTGAACCAAATAACGGTGATCAAAAGGAAGGTGAACACTGGCTTGGATTGCAATGATATTCAGACTAGAATCCCCTGTTTTAGGCACCCAAATTTGGGAAATTAATCACTGAAAATTAAGAACTTGAAGGGGGAGGAGAAAATACACCAAAGCACATAAAATTACCGTCATTTTTCATTCCAACTAACAGCTCACTTTCCTCACCAGCTGCCACCGCTGCGGAAAAGAAGAAACGTGATTTAGAGATGCAATTCAAAAACAGTTACTAAACATTTAAGCAAAACAAGGAACCAACAATAAAGATGCAAAGCAGAATCGAAATTACTTACACTTGGATGGGTTTTTAGGGAAAACACAAATTGTCTCAATCCCAGGTGCCGGACTAAAACTGTCACTGCCAAAATCTTGCACATCATCACCAACAATTCCAAGATCCCCTCCTTCTCCACTGCCTTCAACCACTTCCGTTTCAGGGTCCGATTGGCATCTAGCAACTATGGAGTAAAATCAACACCATATAAAACCAAAATGAAATTCAGGAAATAATAGTTCGAAATCTGAACAGAAACTCCTTAATAATCAACCCAAACAGCAAACAGCCCAATAAACATCAATAGCGCAAAGATCCCAAAGAAAGTTGTGGTCGGCTACACAAAACCCCTGTAACCATTCCGCGCAAGTCGGGCCCAAAAGCCTAGAAGATAATAAGTTATGCAAATATCACGAAGAACTAGCTGAATCCTGAAAATCAAGTAATTGAACTACTATACTTTACCTTTCTCATAAAACAAAAAGAGTAAATGAACTACTTATTGCTGTATTAGGCAGAGGTGGATCCAAGATTTGAGCTTTACGGGATCAGTAGGATGCCACTGAACAACTAATGAGTTACTGGGTTCAAAATTTAATATTTCTACATATTTAATAAATTTCTTAACACATATAAAAGGTCTGCATCAAAGCAATTGGGTTTAGCTGAACCCGTAGCTTATACTACGCAGCATACGCCCCTAACATTAGGTAGGATCGATGCATGGATCAACAGTTCTTTTCCATGTCATTATATCAAATGAGATTATAACAAAAGATTACCAAGTCGAAGACATTTAATTTAACTACCAAATTACACTATTGCCACCCAGAACACAATTCGAATTCTACTTATTATTCCCGAACACTATTCTGCTGAGATTATTTTCAGTAATCTTCAATAAGAGGCAGAATTACTCATTAAAGACAAATCACATCCCACACACACACACAACTTTGAGGAGATAAAAGAAATTTCGATTGTATCCGATTGAATCTCAATTTACAAGATCGCACAAAAGATTACTAAATAAAGCTAGAAAAACACGGTAATTATCCTGTTGCACGAGCATTTGCATGTAGGAACAATTGTATAAATAAGGAAAGAGAGATCTGGATCTGAGAAACGAACCTTGAAGAAATGGTGAAGAAAAGAGAAGGAGAGCTAAGAGGATCCAGAAAACCCTAATTGTCATTTTATGAATTCGAACAGAGACGAATTAACAGAAATGTAGAGCTGAGCTGAGAAGAAACGCCCAGCAGCAGAAGCAGGAGCAGGAGCAGTGTTTTTTTTTGTCTTTTTACGGCATAGGAAGTGAAACCGAACCTCCTTTTGTGTTTGGAAACAGAGGAATATCCAAAGAAAACTCGAGCCAATACGGGGGCCCAATTTCACGATTCCACTTATTTTTTTAGGCTTTATTTGATTAATAGTACTCGTATAAAATTTATGCGACGTGCTTAATATATTTTCTCATTTAGAAAAACAAAAAATCAGCAAATTTGATAGTGTTATAAAATAAAGGCCGTGAAGTAAATAAACCGAAGACAAGTATAAGGAGAGAGATATTGATATATTATTCAACTTTAAATTGAATAATATATCAATTTAAAGTTGAATTGAAGTACATAATGAACTGAAAACTCCTCTATTTATAGAAAAAAGGAAACAGCTACGAGGCTTTCAAGAAGCAGCCGCAAGGCTTTTCAGGAAGCAGCTGCGGGCCCTTTCTTGAGCTGCCTGTAAGCTGTCTGCATGAGCTGCTTACAACCTGCCTGTTTAATAAGAATCTGCTGCAAATCATTTCATTGAGTTGCTTGCAACCTGCCTGCATCAGCTGCTTGTAGATAAACTTCAATGGAGTACTAAATGGATAATCTTCTTCAGGAAGATTATCTATAGCAGAGTAATAAATGGACATCCACAATATAATAGTTTCATAACACTCCCCCTTGGATGTTTATTTAAAGATATTGTGCCTCGTTAAAACCTTACTAGGAAAAACCCAGTGAGAAAAATCCTAGTGAAGGAAAAAGAGTACACATATTTAGTAATACGCATTTCTGGCTGCCTCATTAAAAACCTTGCGAGAAAAACCCTATGGGAAAAATCTTAGTAAGGGAAAAAGAGTACACCGCGTATTTCACTCCCCTTGATGAAAACCTTGTTTCAAATATTTGAGTATCTGCATTCCAATCTTATATACCATCTTCTCAAAAGTTGAAGTTGACAAAGATTTAGTGAACAAATTTGCTTGATTTTCACTTGAACGGATTTGTTGCACAATAATGTCACCATTTTTCTGAAGATCATGTGTCTAGAATAATTTTGGTGAAATGTGCTTTGTTCTATCTCCTTTTATAAATCTTCCCTTCAATTGGGCTATGCGTGCAACATTGTCTTCGTATAAAATTATGGATCTTTTATCCAACCCACATTTTTCTTGAATAAAATGAATCATTGATCTCAACCATACACATTCCCTACTTGCTTCATGAATAGCTATTATCTCAGCATGATTTGAAGAAGCAGTAATAATAGATTGCTTTGTGGAGCGCCATGATATGACAGTACCTCCACATGTAAACATATATCCGATTTGAAATCGAGCTTTATGGGGATCAGATAAATAACCTGCATCTGCTTAACCAATACGATCTGCACCACCTTTGTTAGCATTGGCAATATACATAAGTGCATCCATTGCACGAAATAGAGTATTCCAGGACCAAGGAGTTCCTCATCCTCTTCTGGAAGTCGGAACGGATCCTTATTCACTTCAAGTGATCGAACAACCATTGGTGTACTTTATCCATGTAAAAGCTTTTTAAGACCCTTTCTGTATAGGCAGATTGATGGATAAAGATTCCGTTTGCTAAATATTGAATTTGTAGACCAAGACAAAGTTTTGTCTTTCCAAGATCTTTCATCTCAAATTCTTTCTTAAGATATTCAATTGCCTTTTGGAGCTCTTTTGGAGTTCCAACAAGATTTATGTCATCAATATAAACAACAAGTATAACCTTCTTTCAGTAAATATTCACTGAGGCGATTATACCACATGTGCCCAGAATACTTTAGACCATACAAAGATCTTTATAATTTGATCGAGTACATTTCTCAAGACTTTGAATTATATGCTTTTGACATTTTAAATCCTTCAAGGATCTTCATATAGATTTAATCAAATAAGTCATATATATTATGACTTGTATCTAAATGGTATGACATCTTCAAGTGTCTGGATTGCTTGTTCGATCCTCACAATCTTTTACAATATTGTGCACTATATTGTATCAAATATATCGTCGACGATCATTTTTTATCAGTTCCTAAGCGATATAACTTGTTGAGATCTCATCACTTTCTTTATTTTCAGGTACTTGGGAGTTTCATGAAATGTTATGTCGTAGGCTCTTCTAGAGCTTATTTCCTCCTCATTATGATCATTTTGATCATTAGCTCCTACCATTTTTCAAGGATTGTTATCTTTGAAACCGATTGGTCTACCACGCTTCATGCGTACAGTAAACTCTATCCTTTAGGGACTTTAATTTTAATAGGAGCATTTGCAACTGAAATATGATATTAAATTTTGGATCAACAAATGCTTCTGGCATTTGACTTGAATTATCTTCTAAGTGAGGATCATATTAATGATAATTCGATTCATATAGCATATTTTTTAGTTGTTTATTTCATCTCCCAAATGTTAGAAAAACTAGCATATATCCCCAATCTTCTTGGGGAAACATATCTTTGTGTATTGTGGTAGAGAAATTAATCATATATCATACATTAAAAGGTAGTAAAAATATTTGATTTCTAATCCTAAACCAAATTTGAGGGGAGGACTTTATCATATATTGTTGGTACGATGCATACAAGTGCTGTTGTATGCAATTTAGAATATCTTAGACCAAGACATGAAACTTTGTTTTCATAAGCAATAGTTTAGCAATTAGTAGGAGGTATTCAATACTAAACTAGCTTGGATATAAACCAACATTATCAAGATGAACTGTCTTGATTTCATAATCTAAAAGTTATGCTCTTAATTGAGAAAAACAATCTCAAATGCCAAACTACATGTTGACAATAAACATACATGTAACCGTCTCATATATGCATCTACAAGTGGTTCACATGCTAGGTGAATGAGCCCATATTCACCTTTTATATATTTTAGAATCAGGGGTTTTAGTCCCAACTTTAATTGGTATAATCAATTTATTATGAGAGCAAGCAACACAGGAGAATCTTCTAGTTCTTCAGTATATGCTTATCTAAATTCTCAAATAGCTCATTTAAAATGGCAAATGAAAACTTCAAGTTTATCATGGAATGTGTTATCTCTTAGTAAACTTCTAGTTTACTATTGTGACGACCCGGCTAGTCGTATCATGAGTTATCGCTCCATTTTCCCCATTTATGATTCTTATTGCTTTGTCTATCGGTTCTATATGTGATCGGGTTGGTTGCCTCGGGTTCGGAAAGGATTTGGTAAGGTTTGAGGCACTTAGTCTCTTTTGAGGAAGCTTAAGTTGAAAAAGTCATCTAGATGTTGATTTATGAGTTAGAGGGCTCGGATGTGAGTTTCGATGGTTCGGATAGCTTTGGGAGGTGATTTGGGACTTAGGAGCGTGATCGGAATGAGTTTTGGAGGTTTGGAGTAGATTTAGGCTTGAATTGGCGAAATTGGATTTTTTGCGTTTTCCGGTTGAGAGGTAAGATTTTGATATAGGGGTTGGAATGGAATTCCGAGAATTGCAGTAGTTCCGTTGTATCATTTGGGATGTGTGTGCAAAATTTCAGGTCATTCGGACGTGGTTTGGTTAAGTTTTTGATCGAAAGCGTAATTCGGAAAATTTTAAAAACTTAGGCTTGAACCCGATGTGTTTTGGTTGATTTGATGTTGTTTGAGGTGTTTTGAAGATTAGTACAAGTTTGAATAAGGTTATGGTTATGTTTGTTCTTTTGGTTAAGGTCCCGGGGGCCTCGAGGTAATTTCGGATGGTTGACGGAGAAGTTTGGGATTGTGGTGAGCTGCAGATTTTTCTGCTTCTGGTATTTTCGCACCTGCGGATTGGGGACCGCATGTGCGGTGTCGCAGAAGCGATGAAAGGGACCGCAGAAGCGGAAAATGGCTAGAAAGGGCAGGAACCGCAGATGCGGTTGTGGGACCGCACCTGCGAAGGCGCAGGTGCGGAATGTTCTTCGCAGATGTGATTTTGGCCGGTTAAGTAAAGAACCACAGAAGCGGTTCACAAATGCGGTACCGAAGATGCGGTGGATTGAGCGCAGATGCAAAGATGCCTGGGCCAGAAAGTATAAATTATTTCCTTCACGATTTTTGAGCTATTCCACCATTTTTAAGTCGGCTTTGGAGCTTTTTGGACGATTTTGAAGAAGGATTTCAAAGGAATTTCATTTAGGTAAGGATTTTGGACCTAAAACTCATTTCTATGGTATTATTTCACAGATTAGGCTTGTAATTAATGGAATTTAAGGATCAAAGTTTGGGGAAACTAGGGCTTGAAAACTTGGACCTTTGATTGAGGATTTGGAGGACCATTTGAGGTCGGATTTCAGAACTTTTGATTTGTATAAACTCGTGGGGAGATAAGAAATCTATTGATGTAAAAATTATCGAATTTCGAGATGTGGGCCCAGGGGTCGGGTTTTGGTAATTTCGGGATTTATGTTGTAACTTAATTATTTTCGCTTGGGCTTCGTTCCCTTAGCATATTTTGACGCTGTGATTTTGCTTTTGGTTAGATTCGACACGAGTGGAGGCCGATTCGAGAGGCAAAGGCATCGCAGGCTAGATTTAGACCAGATTGAGGTGAGTAATGATTGTAAATGATGTTCTGAGGGTATGAAACCCCGGATTTGAACATCGTTGTGCTATATTGAGGTGACGTACACGCTTGATGACGAGCGTAGGGTCGTGTACTGTTGGGGATTGTGACTTAGTCCGTCTCGAATGACTATTTTACTGCGTATTTGACTGAAAACTATTTGTTATCATCATGTTTTGGGATGAACGCAATATTTGGGCTTCTTGCCAACTATTTGAACCCTTAGAGGATTTTTATTGATATTTTCTCACTGTTTTGATTTTATACTTGAACTCAGTCATGCTATATTCCACTGTTCTCATAACTCAGCCATGTTTACTCTGTTTTAACACTTAAATGATCTTTTAAATGATATTTTGGGCTGAGAATTATGTTTTATTATTGCCCGAGTGGCTTGTGAGAATTTTGACTGAGTAAGGCCAAGGGCCTATGCTGTGTGGAAACATTGACTATGATTATGAGACCGATGGCCTAAGATTTATATGCCACGAGATGGCTTGTTGATATGAGGCCGAGGGCCTAGTGATTTTGCCACGAGGT